GACTGTGATCACCGTGATCACTAGCGGGCGACTGCACGCTGCCTTCTTTGTGCTCACTGGGCACTGGGCTGTGCCCTCCCACAGAGCCCGCAGGAGCATCCTGAGTGCTCTCGGACTCGGCATCGTCTTCACTGCCCGAGTTGAAACTCGCGTTCTACGAACCGAGGGTTCGGACGGTTGTCTGAAGACGAGGGCGACGGACTGCGGCGCCTGCTTGCGCGCTTGTCCGCAGCCGCGTCACCCGAGGAACCGATCGCCTCGGAGGCCACCTGAGTAGCCTCCTTGAGTGCAGAGCCTTTGCCGTGAGGCTTAGTGCTCTTGGCCTGCGCCTTACCGGCTGCAGCCTTGGAGCGTGCCTTAGCACCGCTCTTAGCAGTGCCACGAGGCATGTTAACGGTCGAAGTGGAGACCTTGACGAAGAGCGCACAGGTTGCTGCTCGAGGCTCTAACTGTAAAGTGAGCCTCCGCCGCGCTCGCGCGGCCAAGTCGATGGTTTTCGACTTTGAGAATGAGAGTTTGTGACGAACACCTCTTCATTCTGATTGGTCAGTAAACCGAACCTAAGTGGAAGAGGATGTAACGGGGTACGTAGCCCTAAGTGTACCCTGGTTACATGAAGTGTGACACTTCACACTTCAGGAGTATGACATGTCATACTCCGGGATATTTGGTACAAGGTACCAAGGTCATTCAAAACCAACCATTGGTTAAATGACATTGCATTTCTATAGGTAACTGATAGTTTGTATTAACCACAAACTTAACCTACCTATAAATATACTCAGTTTACAATCTACCTTATTTAGGTCACTTCGCTCTCTTTAATTAAAGAGGGGACCTGTGAACTGCCGTTCACTGAGAGTTAGTATACTCTCGGAAGATAACTTCCTCTAGCGCAAGGTGCTGTGTGACCCCGTCACAGCAGGACATCGAGTCCCATAATAATAACGGGAATATGATGAAGTACAATAATAATAACGGGGCTAATATAAGTATATTGTGGCCTCTAACTACCAAGTCTTCCTACTCATTGGCGACGAGCGAAGTCGCGTTCCACATGTCGCGGTTCACGCGAAGAAATGCTAACATCTCAAAGTTTGCAGAAAGCATGCATGACCGCTGAGGCGTCAGAATGAGCTTGCACTGCGAAAACAGTCTTTCAATAGTGTTAGGTGGGCGGCACCACCTTTGCCAGCTCATGAAAGCTCACACCCGCAGCACCAGCCGCTCGCATCTGCTTCCCCCCTCGTAGAATTGCGCTGGCGTAATCGCTCGTCGAGCGCTCCTTCCTCTTACCAGCTGCAGCATCTGGCTCCACCACCAATCGCTGGACTGCGCGCGACTCAGACGCAGTGAGCTTCGCATTGTTGCAAATCTTGACCAAAGCTGCCTCAAAGGCCGGCGCATGGACGATCTTCGCCGCCGGACGCAGATGGCTCGCCATAACTGGGTAGTCGTCAACAACCTGGTCAAACAAAACACGCACGTCCGCCATGCTGGTGTCCATGCGCTGGAGTGTCTTGCAGACACTATCGAGTTCTTTTAGGTGCTCTAGCAGGCCGAGAAGCTTCTTGTGGGCCGCACCTTTTGGGATGAACTCGTCAACAGCATCACCCTGCCGAATAGAATCTCGAATTTTCTTATAGCGGTCCACCATTGCGAATGTCGAAGACCAACAGGTAACATTCCGTTTGACAGGTTTCAGGTCCGTGAATTTTGATAGTTCCGCAGCATTGTTCACGTGTCGTAGCTGCACCATCAGACTGTTAACTGCAGCGAGCTCCGGCTCATAAGCAGCTAAGTAGCGATTCACCGCAAGGTTGTACCGGTGACTTGCACAGCCAACCAGTGGCAGCTCCAACAACGTAGCGATCCGCTGATTGGTCGCGCAATTGTCGGCTACCAGAAAAGCCACCATAGAGATGTCCTTGTTATACAGCGCCAGCACGCGCTTGAACATCTCGATGTGCACTTCAGCATCTTAGCTGCCGTCCTCCAGCGGTGACAGCGACAGCAGTCGCTCACGGCGCTTGCCGTCTGATTAGCAAACACCGTAGATACCGACGTAGTGCGTGGTACCGTGCGTCCATCCATCTCACATGACACCAAACAGCTTGCCCAACTCGCTTTCGATCAGCACACCAACGCTCTCGGAGCACTTCTTCATGTCTTCCTTCAACGTCTTGGACGAAACGGGCTTCCAGGACGACATGGACCTTGTGAGGTGGTTGTCGACCTCGGAGACGGGCATGTGCCTCTCTACGACCCACTGAAGCCACTGATAGCGATGCTGAGTCGCCTCGGACACGAACCCAAAGTTGTACAGAGAAGCGTCCGTAGCCGCAGATGCGCTGTAGGTCTCGTTGAAGTCGGGGTGCGTCAGGTTGAGGTGGGACATCAGGTTCGAGTACTCGGTACCGGTTTGCTGCTTGCGGTAAGAACCGCAAAGCTGACAGCGGAAGTCGTCTTGGATCCTTGTCTTCGTAGAAGAATGTGCAGATATCACGGTTCGGAGCCATCGTGGATCAAATGAAAAGTGAGGGA